TATATATATATATATATATATATATATATAGGGTGTTCCCAAAAGGTGGTATGTAGTACTCTCTCTCTTTAAAAAAAAAATATATATATATATATATATATATATATATATATATATATATATTTATACAGGGTGTTCCCAAAAGGTGATATCAAATTTTAGGGGTATGTAATACTCGTTAAAACAAACCAAAAATTTTTAATGAACAGTACTCCGAAAATCTTTTATTTCTAAGTTATGAAGCATTTTGTTCTGTAAAAAATAAAAAATAACTAAAATTTACAATAAATGTTCAATGTGCCTTCCGTCCATTTCAACACACAATTCGGCACGTCTCCTCATTGAAGATCGAACACATTCAAATACAAGCGTGCTGAAGCATTGCCTTTTGCTCTGCCATACATAAAATGAATATCCGTCATTTCAGAATTTGTGTAAAAATTAGCCATTTTTCAGATAACACAAAACTAGACACGGTCCAAAGTTGAATACAACAATCCCTGCGTAATTAGGTGGTCATATACGGGCGTCCGTGAATGAACTGACTAAGAGACTTGGAAACTGTTGTCAACAAATACGAAATAAATCTGGACTTTTTGACCTTCAATGACGAAACATGCTGAAATGTGTATTGACATGAGCCGAAGGCATATTGAACATTTATTGTAGATTTAATTTATTTTGTATTTTTCATAAAATGCTTCATAACTTAGAAATAAAAGATTTTCGGAGTACTGTTCATTAAAACTTTTTGGTTTGTTTTAACGAGTACTACATACCTCTAAAATTTGATATCACCTTTTGGGAACACCCTGTATAAATATATATATATATATATATATATATATATATATATATATATATATATATATATTTTTTTTTTTAAAGAGAGAGAGAGAAGGAGAGAAAATGGTTAATGAGTAAATTTTGTAAAATTGCATTGATAATTATAAGTTAAATATTTAAGTTAAAGACAAAATAATTTTATTAAAATTATAACAATTTTATTTTAGAGTAAAAAAATTTCTCTTATAAATTTACAAAATAAAATTTTAAAATGTTAATTTTTGTTAAATGTTAAGAAATATTGAGGTAATGTTATTTGTTTTATTCAAGCAGCTAATTTTATTTTTTGGTTTAAATTTAAATTCTATTTAGGTTTAAATTTTTATTTCTTTGAATCCAAACAAGAAATTGTTCGCTTAATATTAGATGATAAGAAATTATTTGTGATTTTTCTATTAAATTATAATTTAAAAAATGTTACTAATGTGTGTAATCATGAAAATGCGCAAAACACGCGCGTTTAGCTCGCGTTTATCTGATCTCGATCAACTTTTAATTCTTCTGCACATCTACACTTGGCAACGATTACGGGAGACCGGAGCTAGATGCTTTATATTTCAAAATTTTGAAGTTACAATTTCTCAGGCAACTAATTGTCATAATTGATTGTATAAACATAATAGAGGTAACCTTTTTCTATGTATTAATGCTTGCCATGTCTCTGTTAACAATCTATTTTGTTTTGTAATAACCAAAATACGAATATGCAGCAACGTGACCATCTCACCCTGATACCAGGTTTAGTTATTTAGTAGTACGGGATAAGAAGGCCACATATAAAATACATATCTTAATGAATAGTTCTGGAATTTCCGCAAGAGGTCTTCATAGTCCTCCTGCCGGCCTCCAAATACGGGCCAACTTTACTTCGTTCATCCATATGCTTTATTTCAATCATTTTATGAATGAAAATTACATTTATTATCAGAAACAATATACTAACAAGAAATTTCATTTTAGCTAATAACACATCTCTTAATTTTTATTCACGATGAGAAATATTAATAGAAAATTTCAAGGAACAGGAAATTTATTTTGTTATTACCAAATCAGTTATTTTGTATTTCTTAACTGTAATATTATGCTGATTTTAATGAAACTCAGGAAAAAGTGTTTATGTTCTAAAAGAACCGTTTCGCGATTTTGTACATTCTTCTCGAGATAAATACTAGAAAAAGCACATACCCCTGGGACCATTTAGCCCCGGTCTCCTCTGTTTTCACAAAAGTAGTAGCTTTACTCACGAGATTTCTCTCAAGGACCTCCTGCACACTCCCGATGTCCAGGGCGATCTCGTTCCTGGCGGCCATGAAATCATCAGCGCTGCTGGCGTGTTTGGGGTCCAAGTGGCGACAATAGGCCCTCGCTAAGTCTTGCTTAGGCAGCTGAATCGCCAACTGACGATCCCTGTGACGCTCGCCGGGCGTACCGAGTCTCGGCATGGCAATCTCCGGCAGCATCGAGAAGTACTCTTCCACCTGTGCGGAGAACAACGAATTAATGAAAATCTTCGTACCTCGCGCTCACGACCAAGCACAAATATTTTGATTCGCGAGAGTCGTTTAATGTCTTCGTCAAGAGTACACACGAGTTTCTCAATACACATCGCTGGCATCGTAAACGTCGGCGTTCATGGCATGATTTCACTGAGAGAAATTAACAAACATATATTTCCTATAATCAAAATACCGATAAATTTTTACACTCGATCAGGATATCCGATTAAATTTAATCGAATACTTTCGATCATAATGGCATTTCATCCGATGAACCGATCAAAAAATTTTTAACTGATTTCTCATTGGATGTTTCCTGATTGGATACGAAAATTCATTGGTATTTTGATCGGAAATATTTGTTTATTAATTTCTTATCGAATAATTTCTTTCAGTGTATCGAAGTAATCAATTAACAGTTTATTTTGATATCTTATTTAAGGACGTAATAGCAGTCTCTGCATAAGTCTGAAAACTAAGAAACGCGCGTGATCGCTCGTCGATCTTTAACTAATAAATAAAAAATATACGTGGTGCAAAATGGCAGAGAACTTCTGTGTTCAGTTTAACCTATTGTACAAGCGTACCACGGAAATTATACATTAAAAAAAATTATCCAATAAAAAATTAACAAGTCGGATATTTCCGATCAAATTCCGATCAATTTTTATATCCAATCAGGATATCAGTTAATCAGTTGAATCATATAATCAGTTGAATTGAATATTTTCGATTATGATGACATTTCATTAGATAAACCGATGAAAAAATTATGAACCGATATTTCTCATCGGATGTTTCCTGATCGGATACAAAAATTCATCGGTATTTTAATCGGAAATACTCGTTTGTTAATTTCTTATCAAATAACTTCTCTCAGTATAACATATTTGCTTTCATAAATATATATTGAGAGAAATTATCCGATAAAAAATTAAAAAATGAATATTTTCGATCAAATTCCGATCAATTTTTATATCCGACTAAGATATTCGATTATTGGCTGTACCATTTAATTGAATTCTTCCGATCATAATGACATTTTATCAGATAAACCGACGAAAAATTGTGAACCGGTATTTCTCGTCGGATGTTTCCTGATCGCATACAAAAATTCATCGGTATTTTAATCGGAAATACTCGTTTGTTAATTTCTTATCAAATAACTTCTCTCAGTGTAGCATATTTGCTTCCATAAATATATACTGAGAGAAATTATCCGATAAAAAATTAACAAATAAATATTTCCGATCAAATTCCGATCAATTTTTATATCCGACTAAGATATTCGATTAAATTTAATTGAGTTCTTCCGATCATAATGATATTTTATCAGATAAACCGACGAAAAATTGTGAACCGGTATTTCTCATCGGATGTTTCCTGATCGGATACAAAAATTCATCGGTATTTTGATCGGAAATATCCGTTTGTTAATTTCTCATCGAATAATTTCTTTTAGTGTGCAAAAAGGAACAAAGAAAAAAAAATAATGTCAAGAGCATCCGCAAAGCATCCGGCGATTTCGCGGATGCACCGCTCGGGTGTGTACTTTCCGATGAACTTTTCGAAAAATATCGAAGGCTGGCAGCGCGCCAGGATCTCCATCGGTCGTCAAATTTACGCGGCGTCTATTTCGCTACGCGCCTTTCGTCCGCCCACGACCACGAGCGTTATTATCCTATTCGGCTCGCGATATAAACCGCAAGCGGTCGTTTAGGGGGGCAACATCGCCGCACGTCCGATGCACTTTGCGCACGAGCGGCGTAAACTCTTTACGACGCGCTCGGAGATTTAAGCGCGGTAGAGGTGCGATTTGATGTGGTTATGACAAATTGAACGACGAGGGGGAACGTTTGTTTCAACGCACGTGCTTGAAAACTCGTCGGGCCGAACTCATCGTCTCACGCCGTAAATCATTTCCGACAGAGGTGGCGGGAATATCCGGATTGAATTAGCGAAAAGTGTCGATGAGCTGTTTATTAGTCGAAAGTGCGAATTATTATTAATAATAAAGAATACATAGCGTGTCTGATGATAAATGGGAGAACACTTGTGCGTATCAGGATTGCCAATAAATTAATAATTTTTTTAATTAATTATCGCGTATTTACTTGACGATTAATATGAGCCAATTCAATTGGAGACCGTTTAATTCACAATTAATTTCAATAAATTCAATTAAATATCGATTGACTAATGATTTCAACGAATTCAATTAAAGACTGCTCAACTGAAGATTGTGTGCTAAGAGTAATAATTGAACTTAGCAAACTTAAGTAAAGGCTGTTTAATTGATGATTGAGCTTAGCAAAATATTTTCAACTTAGCAAATTTAATCAAAAGACTGTTTAATTGGCAATTGAATTTAGTAAAAAATTAAATTTGCTAAGTTCAATTGTTAATTGGACGATTTTTTATTCTCTTTGCTCATACAAGTCGTCAATTGAACGTTCTTTAATTGAATTCGTAGAAACCAATCGTTAAATAAACATTGATTGAATTTTCTCGAATCAATCCTCAATTTGTTCAATTAAAACAAATTTGTTCAAATGGATTGTTAAACTAAGCAAAATATAACTGATATTTTTACAACGCTGATGCGCATGTAGATCAAACTGAACACAAAATTCCTTTACCATTTTGCACATAATAATATAAAATTTTGAATTATTGTTTAAAAAATATGGCGAATGACTGCGTTATGCGATACAAGGTGTGACACTAAGAACGATTTTCATTGTATTTGTACATTTAATAAATTGTGCCAAATTAAATAAGCCCTAAAGAACAAATTCCTTTATCATTTTGCAAATAATCATATAGATTTTTTAGTTAAAGGAGATTGACAGATGCATTCGTATGAGATCATTCGTCAGTCTCCTTTAATTAATTCTTTAGTTAATTTTTAGTCATTTTTTAATTAAAAAGTTTTAGAGAATTAATTATAAAAAATTAATTCGCAAAGTTGGCACGGCATCTCGCCGTCATGTGGGATCGGATTTGATCTTTTGACGAAGACGCTATTTTCCATAACTTTAAGTTAATAAAAAAAAAAGTGTAAAATAAAAAGAGGTTAATTGGTATTAATATTAAAAATTGGGACTCAGAGTCGGCTATAAAGATTGGAAATCCAAATCCAGCCTATCTTGCGTTAATATTGTCAAACATTATTATCCTCCTAGCATTTAGCGGATATTCTCTCTAATCAGAGTTCGACTCTTATTGACCAAAAATTTGTTTAATATAAGTTGTCTTTCTAATTCGTTTTTAATAAAAAAAAGAGTAACTTTTTACAAGTCAATTCAACAGAACTGACAAAATTCAATAGAAAAATAACGAATATTTTACACAAAATTAACTGTATAAAGCAGCTTGCATTCTATATTAAATTAGGTTCCAATATAAAGTGTATATTTCACGTATAAAACTTATTTATAAATAAGAAAAGAAAAAAATTGAAGCGTTAATTTATTCCTCTTAACTTATCGTCATGTTCTAAGATAAGATAAAGAGAAACAGCCGAGTTGAAAACCAAACATACCTTATGCGATGCAAGACCAGGTGGCGCCCAAGCGAGGCCTCTCTCTCTGGGGTCCACGCCGATTGGTCCGCTCGACTCGTCGCCTTTAAGACCCAGACGAGACCTGACGGACACCCACTCTTCGTGGCAGACATCGTGGGCTTCTCGCGGACACTTGCAGCTGGTGCAGTTTTTCCTGGAACAGAAATTGAAGCCTGGTCAGTGCGGAACGGAGATCGCTTGGTTACCCGTGAACGTCGAGCTCTGATTTAATGACTTAACGAAGAGGGACCGTTGGAGAATTTGCCGGTTCAATTAGGGCCTCTCTCGATTGAGTTCCCTTCGTCTTGGCGGAGGAGCGCCGATCAATATTTGCTACGTGTCGTTCATTAACGCGCGGGCACGCTGTGTCTCGCGACGAAGCGCCTAATAAACTTTTATTACCTTTACAAGCGTCGTGCGCGCGTGAGCGCATACATGCACGTCGATAATCGCCTAATTAGGCCGAGCGCCAGTGACGTTTTGCTTTTATTTTGCGCGCTATACTTTCCCTCGAACCGATAACGGCGCTCCTATGTATGGACGAAGTAACTGCCGTCTGCTGTAAACGCTCGGCGGCTGCCGCGTCGGCAGTCATCGCCATTTACTAATTAAAGTTTCGGTTTACCGCGCGGTTTAGTCGCGCTAAACTCAGAGGAACCTTAATCGCGGATGGGAGAGAGTTTTAAGATGAGGGACGACAGAAAAAAATAGGGAAAGAGAGGGAGAGGAAGAACATAACATATACAGAGTAGAATTTACAATTTGTATTCCAAGAAAATAACACGATTTTGGAAAATAATGTTATTGTATATATAAATACATTTGACGTAAAATCTTTTAAATTTCTGTACTAACAAGACTTCTGAAATTCCTATAAATAGTAATAAGAGGTAAGAGTTACGGAAAAGTACATCTTTTTTAATATTAAAGCATATTTAACTAAATTAAATACTAAACATTCTTATTTGAAATATTTCCTCATTCGGATTCAAAAATATTCGTTCATCATCAAATGCACATAATTAAGTTTAAAGAGGTACTTTAATTCTTAAGTGAGAAAGCGTTTATAAAAGAACACATATAGCTCATATATTTTGACTACTTTGCGCTGTATTCAAAATCCACTGAAATCGATAAGAAACAGATTTCTTAAATCTTCTTTCACACATACAGCTGCAAGATTTCTTAATAATAAAGCTCAAACTCAATGATAAAGTTTCAGCTTAATAATAAAACTCAAACTTAATAATAAAATTATTATAATATATCGTATCTATTTAACAACATACGTGTCGGTACAATAAGTTACGTTGAAATGACTATATCTGCATTGATATAATAATATTAACGCAAGTTATTGGTGCATTAACGTGTATTTTGTTGAATAAACCCAATATTTCTTTGATGGACGGTGACCATCGATTTTGTTGTTCCAGCCGCTTTTTTCTGAATGTATAATAATAAAATTTAATATTATAATATTCATGCACAATATTACAGAACAAAATGAAGAGGATGAGCATTATTGCGTAAATTAACTCACATATTAAGAGGACTGGAGGGTCAGATTGCCTGAAAATCGTGCTTGTTCTTTCACAATTTTTTATGACAAATTGAATGAATATGCGAAAGTCTTATTTTGACGCATTTTTATACAACATATAAAGAGAAGAAAAATATAATTTTGATGATCAAATACTGAATATAAATATATAGTATATGCAGTTAAAATATATTTCGTTTTTCTTTTCAAGGTCGTCATTTTGCAGTAATATCTTGACTTTCAATGATTCAATTAAGCTGAATTTTAGGTAGAAAACTTCCGTAAACTTGTCGTTATCGTGAACCACTAACAAACCCGTGAAAATATTTAATTTTAAAATATTAATTTTTTTTACTATAAAAGAACTGAAAATTTAATAATATTCTATTGAATATTTTCAATTTTATTAACTTTTATCTAATTTCTATTATAGTAATAGTATTTGATCATCACAATTATATTTTTCTTCTCTTTATATATTGTATAAATACACGTCAAAATAACACTTTCGCATATTCATTCAGTCGTAAAAGATTGTGAAAAAACAAACACGATTTTCAGGCAATCTGACTCTCCAGTCTCCTTGATATTTGAGTCCGTTTTTTTTTTCGTCAAAAGTCCTTCGGCACAGTGAAAAGACAAAAGACACGAAAGAAGTAAGCAGCGCATAGGATGCGTTTGGCATTCGCTGCACACATCCAGGTCTACACGTTTCACACATTTCCGCGATGAATCGCGGATCGATGCGGGCAGCGTCGCGCGATTAGAACGCAACGATGCATTCGCGGCGAAGGATATCGCGGCGCAGGATGATACGTGGGCGCGACAGGAAAGCGAGGTCCCCCGGATCGATGCCTGGCCGAGCTCTGCCTTGATATCGAGCGGCGATCGTGTAATCAAGGGGGATGCATTTGCGCCGGACATTTATCGCGGCTGTACCGCGCCCTTCCGGATGTCGGCAGGCTTCAAGGCCATCGAGGAGCTCGCCGCTAATGCGAGGCCATCTCTCTCGCTCTTTCTTTCTGTCTGCTTCTATATCGCAGCCATACCTCCTTTGTACGCGATAACGAACGAATGGGGACTCGAACGACCTCCGAAGAGACAAGGACGTGTTCCTCCTTAAATAGACAGGTGTGCGTTTTGGCAGCAACGTTATTACTCCATTCGTAAAGATTGCATTCTTTATGAGTAATTAGTCATATTTATTACTCATATTTGTCGTGTTAGAATTATGTAATAGAAATACGGAGGAAATATAAAAAGTATTGTCAACATTTGCGCGAAGCAATGTGCTATGCAAGATGTAATGTTATATGAAAATCTAAGTGTAATATTTCGTAAATTTATTGTGCATAAATATTACAGAAAATTTACGTTGTTGCAAATTTAATGATTAACACTAGAACGACAACTTTGACAGAAATGGGTCGGGAATGATAACTCCCTTTGGATGCCCGAAGGAGTCATTTTGTGATTCCTTGCAATTCTAATATTTTAAAACTCTCTCTGTTCCTCATTATTCGTATTAATGATGACAAATGAACACGCTAGGGACATAATTTGTCAAAATATAGAAATTTTATATACACTGTAAACAAATTATAACAATTTTCATAATTTTTCCAAACTTATAATTTTCTATAGTAAGACGTATCATAATTATTATTTATTTGCTGTCTATAATTAGTATACGAAAATAATATAGTAAAAATTCCGTTAAAATTATATTTCTTTTTACAATGTTTTTTATAAAACTAAACTTTATTAAAATTGTAATATAAATTATCACAGAAACAGTAATCTTTTTGGTATATGATATAAAAAATCTTCAAGTAATTACAATAATCTTATAATAAAAATTCAAACATTTTTAAACAAATTTATAGCGATTTCGGTTATAATACTATATGGTCTAAAATTACAACAAATTTTTTACTACAATATTTTCTTCGTCTACAAAAAGACCGATGAATTGATACAGAATAAAATATAAACTTAATCGATATTAAACAACTAAAATTTCAGATAACAGTTTGTATATTGCCTTTACAACACGAGCATTAAATAGTCGAGAGCATTAAATAGTATTAAAGTCAAAATTACTCTCTTTTTATGTATCCAAGGTAAATTATAAAATAATTCATCACAATATCATCGAACTTTACTATTATTTTTTCAGCGTGTTAAAACTAACTTAAAAAATAATTAAAAGTGAGATTTCTTCACGAGAGGTTTTTTCTTAAACCACGAGAAACGGAAGTGGGAAAAGTACATATATAATTATATAAAAATATAATAAAGTACACATATATAATCATATAAAAATATATATGATCACATATAATTACATATAATCACATATAATCACATATAATTACATATAATTTTAACTACTTTATATACATGATTTTATCTATGATCATATCTTATTATATATAAAACATTAAATGAAAAAAGGAAAACATAACTTGATTTAATTAAATGTCGACATTACCACAAATATAAGTATTTACTTTAACTGTATCTTCACAACAGCATACTTTTCAATGTAGACGTTATGTATTTATATATAATTTATTACATTGTATAATTACATATAATTATACATGGCGATATATGAACAAAATTCATACATGAACTTTCTTTCTCGTATGACGACAACAAGAAGATCTTAAAGGAGTTAAAATGACTCCATCGGGCATTAATTCTAGCGTTAATTCAATATAGCATATTTGCTTCGTAAATGCAATTAAGAAAGTTGTAAAATTTTCTTCACCGTCGTGTCGTGACGACCATAAAGATCTATCTTAGTCCTTTACCCCTTTTTATTCGTAAATCTTCACCTTCCTCTCCTCCCCTTTCCAAAGAACGAACGTTTCGCTCTTTTAACTTCTATTTCAACAGCGGTCGCGTTCCATTCTTTTTCCAGAGACCCAGCGAGATTCGCGACGTCAAGGACGATTACACCCGCGGTTTCCCGCTATTTTTGTTTCTTTCCCCCCTTTACTTTCCTCAGGAAGCGTCTCTCGGTGGCGTATTATCGGCGGTTTCCGTAATGTCAGGCTGATAATGTCAACCGCGCAATTATCCACCTCGTCAGCGAAGCCTGACTCGATCCCGAGGAGTCGCGCGCTATAAAAAGCGTCCTCGCGGAAATCTCGGAAGAACTTCGCCGGCCCATTTCTCCTCGTTGGAAGTTCTCCCCTCATCTTGTCGTTTGGCCTCGTTTATCACGGACTGGGTGTTTCGCGCGAGGACGAGGGGCGCGAATTAACATCGACGTCTCGTTCATTCGACGAGCGTGTAGTGCGTAATATTACACCCACACAGGGATCGTAATTCATTAGCGAGCTTGCGCGTTTACCGTCATCAGTGTGATTGAACGTACTACGTTCTTTATTTTTAACTCTCAAGCAGTTACGGTGAAGGTCGTCTTACACTTGCCCGTATCGTATCTGAACTACGTAAGTCTATACTTGAATACTATACAGGATCTCAAAACCATCCGATGAATTGATACGGAATAAAATACAAACTCAATCGATATTAAACAATTAAAATTTCAGATAACAGTTTGTATATTGCCCTTACAACACGAGCATTAAATATTC